TAATTTAAAATGCAGTATTTCAAACAGCCATAAGTAAGCCCAGCAGTAGTGAGACTATCAGGATACACTAGTGATAAATTAAGAATGATACATGATTTTTTTTATCTTTGCTATTTAATTTGGCATTGCTTGATTTATTCATTTCTGCACTTGATCTTAGCCAAAAGCCCGAGAAGTGATGACTTATTTCTAAAAACCAGACTTAATGTACTTTATTTAATGTACAAAAAACACTGATTTGAAGGTTTCACATAGTTATCAGTTTTAAGTCTGCAGACATTAGTCTTAATTCCAGATTCATCATCAAGAAACTATGTAATTTTAAATAATTCTCTAACTTTCTGAACCATGTGTCAGGACATAGGAGAATTAAGTTTCTGATGGCACTGTTATCCTCTTTGATGGTATATGCATATATTTTAACTGTAAATACGTGTGTGTGTGTGTTATGTGTAGGTTACATAAATGTATAGGAAATGAAACCAATACCATTCTCCCTAGAAGGCAGGGACTGACCACAAGCCAGTCATGTTGCTCATTATCCATTAGGTTATGTCCAGTCATTCAACCGGTACATGAACATGTTTTAAGCCAACATTGTTTTACTTTATAAAAATTCATTGAACTAAAGCTTCCATGTATAATCCGGAGTATACTCAAGAACACACTATTTGATGTCAACTATTTTTATATTCTGAGAGGCAATAGAGCCCAGGGAGTTCAACTTCAGCCTGGTTGGGATTAACTCCCAACTGACCAACTGACTTTATTTTATTAAGTGACTTAATTTCTGTGCCTCCATTTCCTCATCAGCAAATTAGGTAGTGGTGCCTACCTCACATTGTGAGGGTTAAGCAAACTGATATGCATAAAATACCAGTGTCTGCCATTTGATAAACCTTTTTATCTGCATAAGTCTGAAGGGTCCCCTGAAGGCTAAGTAGAATGACAGAATCCGTTTTTATTTCAGGTTTTCACTATGGAGATGGCATTGTCAAGGCTGTAGATACTGGGGACAGGAGAGGAGGTATAAATTTCAGCAAGACTTGAGTCAAGGAAACAGATAAGAGGCTGTGGCTATAATCCAGGCAAAAAATGATAAATCTTGAATTACATGGCAAGTGGTAGAGGGATTGAGAGTAGTGAAAAATACTGCAGTGAGAAACCGAGACCTGGCTCACCATGTGGCTGTGGGAGTTAAAGGACAGACTCACAAAGGACTCCCAGGTTATGGATGACATTCTCGAAGGCAGGACAGGGAAGAGGAGGAGCTCCACGATCTCCAGCGCCTATGTACATCCGGCAGAAAATGCTCAGTAAGCAGCCCATGAGAACTCAGGAAGAGCTGGACTCCCCAGACCTCAGACTCTGCAGCAAAGAATCGCTGAAGTCAAGGGAGTAGATAACAGATTTGCCTTAAAACTCATTTTCAGTGACCAGGCAATCTTCTCTTCTATGCCAGACTAGAACACATCATCTGATGCAGTTCTGAACATTAACGGGAAATCATATTGAAGATTTCAACCTTGAAGTTAATTGCAAAGTTTGCTGCAGATGGCTAGTGTTTCAAAGAATCTGTTTTCTAAGTGATCTGGGTAAAAAAATGAACACAAGTCCCTGGTGCCACATTTCCCATCACATACTGCAGAACTGCCGATGATAGGCCCTTCCTTTGGCTCCTGGGGACTTAATTTCCCTGGGGAACTATTGTGGTTATTCAACTTTAAGACCTTGCAGGAAGAACCACTGTTATTCCTCTCTGGGGTCTTACTCAGAGCAAGCAACATGGAAGTAAATAGTCACTAAGGAGGAACAAGGAGAAATAAACAAGCTTTTAGCCAAATGTATGAACAATTCAGGTTTAAAAAAAAAAAAAAACTGGCCAAGATTTTACAAAAATTATAAATTAGGGACAGTAATACCACCCTGTTGTGGCTCATAATCTACCAGAGAATCCAGACTATAAAACCATAGCAGCTTTGCTGTTCCCAAGATAAAGGAAAGTGTGTTTCATTCTATGCTAATTTCTGCCTGCAGTGGTTAAATAAAGACTGTTTCAGGCTGGGAAAACAAAACCAGAAATTAGAACTAGGGTCTAGGTCCAGTTCTGCCAGTGCTTACTGTTAATTTTGGACCTATCTCCTTTGCAGAGTGCAGAGATCTCTTTTTTCCTAGTGTTACAGGATCTGTGATCAAAAGATAGCACTTAATGAAACTAGCCTTTGAAAAATTATTTTTGAAGGATCTTAAAGTCTTCCTGTCATTCAATAATACATTTCTTGCCTCAGAGGGCTCACTGGTCAACATGTTGTTGAAATCAATGCCTTGTTCCTAACATAGTCTACCATTTACTAAGTGCCTACTGCATGCTTTAGATGTTTATGAACTTGCTTGAAAAATCTCAATAACCCCACCCCAGTAGACAGTGGGATGTAATCCTTTTGTACAGAAGGGAAGATGGAAGCTTATGCAGGGTAGGTGACTTGGCAAAGGTCCCGTAGCTGATAAGTTTCAGTTAGCCTTTAAACCCAGATCTCCCTGACCCTGCAGTCAGGTTACTTTCAGGTCAAAAACTGTATTCTGGAAAGAACTCCAGGCAGGGAAGACTAAAAATAAATGGTCATCATTTTCCAATGTCTCACCATCGGAGTTGGGCCAGACAGCAAGCAGCCCAGTGAATCTGTGCTCTTCGCTCTGTCCCCTACAGGTCTTCTTCCTCAACGGTCCAACAGTTGACTTACATACACCAATTCAGGACTGGTATGTCATATACATCTTTAAACACTTAGCAAAATCAAATTTCAAAAGACACTTAAAAATGTATTGCAAAATGTACAGCATTTATTCACATACAGACAAAAAGGCACAAATTCTACTAAATAGTTCAACAAAAAAATACAGCTGTCCTCAACTAGTTTTATAAATACTTTCAAAAAGGGGGTAGAAATAAATACAGGATTGGGCCATGTAATATAAAATAGTCATCTCTACATATACTTTGTTTAATTTCTGATTTTTTTTAACTCTTCATGCACCTTTTTTTCCCAATTTTAGCTGAATGGACACCAAGCTAGGCACATAGTGAAAAATCCTCTGTACAAGGTTACAAATGTAATGACAAGTTTGTCCATTTCAAAATAATTAAGATTTGTACACAACACATAGAACCCTTCATTTTCGATTTTGTGTTTATAACCTAACAAATGACATTCCAGGCAACTTTACAAAAGTTTAACTAGCCTACATTTTGACATAATACATTGATCATAATCAAAGATATTTCTTGGTCAGGATGCACAAGGAAAGATAAAGCTTCAAAGAAAAGAAAGGAAAACAGAGCAAATGGCTCCTACTAAGAGAGTGCAAGTGGGTGGGGTGGGTGGGTGCTGCGTATGGCCGCCTCATACAGAGTTCCCAGCAGGACGTGAACTAACTTACAAAGCTATCATTACACTGTCAGAGAAACCGTGCTCTATACCATTTGCATTTCAAAGCAGGAATAAAAAGTGTGGGCTTTTTATTTTTGTGTTTTGTTTTTGTGTGGGTTTTTCTTTATTTTTTTGTTTTGTTTTTTTGTTTGTTTTTTGTTTTTTTTGGTTCAGCATAACTTGGAACATTTGAAAGCTTTTCAACCTAAATGTGGGGAAAAACAGGTAAGGCATTATTTTTGCACAAAACTAGCATTCCTAAATAGTGCAAATGAATCTGGTACCTCTTAAAATGGTGAGAGGTCATATACTTACTAAAATTTAGATTTTCTTTCTATGGCTTGACAGATTACCCCTCTATATATTCTACTCTCACCCAGAGCTGTTGCTGTGGTCAAAAGGTAACTGTAAAGTGTCCACCTTCTTCTGTATCCAACAAAAACATTTTTGCTCATATGCAAAAAATCTGATTTTTAAATTACGCTATGAGTAAATGTACAACTTGGATTCATTAAGAAACTCCTAATATCTGTAGCAACAGCTTATCTGGACAGCAGTCTTTCAGAATGAGCCCCATAGCTCAAAAATAGTCAATCTAAAAACCTGGGTCATTCTTTCCCCTCCCCTGAATTAGCTACTAAAATGTATTCGAAAAGTTAAGACTTGGTTTGAAAATGTCATACATACAATGGGGATGTGTCAGATCTACTATTTGATCATCGGATAAAACTTGCATAGCAAGATGGAATTCCATAAGCCTTTTTTGCTGTTGACAATCACCTGGAAGACTTGAAAGGTAACTACAGAACTCAAAGCATCCCTCGTTAATTATCAGAATGTCCCTGCCACATGGAAACAGATGTATAAATGAATCAGGAATCTGAATACTGGTATTAACAAACTAAGGATAATTTAGGGGAAGTTGGGCTTGTTCCAAGTGCCCATAATTCTAAATTTCATTGCTACTTAAACTTTCCTTAAGTTTGATTCACAACTACATTGAATTCCAAAGAAAATTAACAGGACCTTAACACTATCCACTGTCTTCATACATACGCACTACAGTGAGTGCAAAAACAGAACATTGTACTCAAATTTAATGCTAAATTCATTATTGCTGATAACTTACTAGTTATTGCCATTTGCAATTAGAAAGTCCAAGTTACGAATTGGAGCTTAGAACTCTGACTCCAGGAAACCTATTACACTTCAGTCTCTTTCCCGTATAACCTTGGTCAATGGTAAGAGGTTATCGCAACTTATTGCCTTTCTATTGTTTTTAAAATATAACCTATTTTTCTTTTTTTTTTTTTTCTTTTTTTTTTTTCTTTTCCTTTTTCTTAAGGAATCCGTTCATGTTGGAAGCCTGGATTCCCCAACATATGCAATAGTGGTTGGCTCTGGGAAATAATGTCACCAGAGTCTGGAAGTTCATTGCTTAAACTTGAATAGCCATTAGTATTGTTGGAAGCCAGATGGCCAGGTATGCCAAAGGCCAGGGAGATCCCAAGTTGGCCCAAAAGGAAGTGGTTAGGGAAGAGGAAGGTCAAGAGGACTGATAAAATGGGACCTTTCTCACAGAACTTTCTAATGGCTTCTTTCTCCACCAGTCCCATACCCACAACACACTCAAGTGCTTCAGGCAACAGGACCTTGCTATACTGACCCTTAATCTGCAAGCTGCAGCAGCTACCCCCTGCCCCTTCAGATCTTCTAGATCTGACCTTTTTTTTTTTTTTTAAATTCTCTCTTCCCCATCTGCTGTTCTAATTTACACATGAATTCCCTAGAGTCACTGAAGCTTCGGAGCTGCTGCCTCTAACTACAATGCAACAAAAACAGCCTTGTGGGCCAAAGTATAAATAGGACTTCAACATCTACCACAGTCCTAGGAAGTAAGTTCTATGGGCTATTAAACGGTACGTGAGGGTTTCTCAAGAACTGCATCTGATTCCGCATATTCAGGTAACCAAGAGTTTGTGCTTTGGGAAAAATACAGAGGGCAATACAAACTCAGGAGGCTTCTGTAAGCCTTGCCCTCTGAAGACTTATTTCAGTCATTCTCATCTTAGTGTTTAATTCAGCCTCAAGTACTAAGGTCTTGAGGGTTACAATCTACTCTTGTGTTTCCTCAACAAGTTGCAGATAACACACTTCTCACAACAGTGATTCATAAAGCACTCTGAAAAAAAAAATTCAATCTGACTTGCAAGTAAATGTGTTTGTGTAGCTCAGGAGTGATGGGGTTCTGCTTGTCCCCCACATCAGAGCTCTGGTCTAGCAACTCCACAGCAAGCCCGCGGCGCCCCCACGCCATCTCGGTTTCATCAAGAGGCCAGAATGCTTCTCCTGATAATGTCTGTCCTCCGGCTGATAGTGCTGCTGGCGTGTATGCATTTCTTTTCTGATGCCTCACTCTCTGAGTCACTCATCTCTACATCAGGGACATACCCGTCATTCTCATTGTCAGATTTTAATTTGTTCTTTACCCTCTCCTTGGCTGGAACTCGGCCTAAGCCCAAATAGGGGTAGTCTGAGTGCTGGTGGCAGGCCCCCTCGTGGGCCTCTCCCTGCTGCTGCCGTTCCCCTTTCTTTGGAATCCGGAATCCTCCCCAGTTTTTCACTGGGCTGGCAGGTGTTGTAGGCACTTTGACTGCAGTCTGGTTACAGTTTACTTTGAGGGAGCCGTTGCACTTGGGCACTATCTCCTTCCTCGTGCCAGGTGCTGCCTGCCCCGCTCCCAGGGAGGCGGCAGCTCTGCTGTTGTCCAGGTGCCTCTGGGACACGTCTGTGGACCTGAGAGGCTTGTGACTCTGTTTACAAGGTCTGTCCTTTAAGTCTCCCTTACTGAGATCACAATGAAAACGATGGTCTCTTCTGTCCCCATGGTCTGGCATCACCAGCCCATTTTTCTGCTGTGCTGATATGAGACGTGCTTCTGCAAAGGTCTTTTCAAAACTCAAAAAGCTCTCTGGGACCACCATCCCCTCCCTTCTCCCACACAGGTCCGGCTGCTTCAGCAGGGTTTTGCCTCCACTCCCAGTGCTGTTCTGCAATAGATCTCGCTTATGGGGCTTTTTCAGCGAATGAACCAAGGAAGTACCCATTTGCTTCCTGAAGAACGCAGAATGCCACTTCAAGTCCTCTATCTTGGGAGCATCAGGGCCCACAGAAGGACTGTTAAACAAAAGCATGTTTTCCAGTGAGGAGGAGGAGCAGGAGGAAGAAGGCACACCTATGAACATATAACCACAAAGAAAAAAATTACAGAAGCAGATCCAAAAAAATAAAATTCTAGAACCTTAGCATGGCCCCAGTAATGCAAACTACCCACCCAACAGTACAACGCACAACCACCCAGTCTATAAAAATTTACACAGAAATATTATCCGCCTTGAGAATCTGCATTCAGTCTGTAGACTCGATTTAATATGCTGTATTTTCTAAAATAGCTGAAGCTCACAGAAGTTTTCATGAAACATCTTTCCAAGAGAAACATTCTCCTTCAAACAAAACAAGTGATCTTTCAAAGAGGAATCCATGCAGAATGCCCCTGGTCAAGCACTGCCTCTGCCCCTGCACCTGGTTAGGCATCTGCCTCTGAGACAAGAAAGAGAGCATCACAAGGGCAGCAACTGGGGCCTTAGAAGTTTGAATCTCCAAGGGCACCTGGGTGGCTCAGTCGGTTAAGCACCCAACTCTTGATTTCCGGCTCAGTTGTGATCTCTGGGTCATGGGACTCAGCCCTGCGTCGGGCTCCATGGTCAGCATGGAGTCCGCTTGAGACTCAACCCTCTGCCTCTGCCCTTCCTCCCTGCACCCTCTCTCACACTGGCGCGGTCTCTCTCAAATAAGTAAGTAAATGAAAATCTTTAGAGTTTCTTTCTCCAAAGTAAATGTACCCTCGTGGGGCTATGATGAGGATAAGTAACTGTAAGTACATGAAACGAGAAAGGAAGATTTAGTTTAAAATCATTCTTGATACCTAGTAAATGTCTTTTAAATCTTCACTATTATATACAAAGCCTATTTGTGGAAGTAAACTGAACTGTCACCCAACACGAGAAGGATAAGTTAAAATGGTGTTTTGCAAACATTTTTGCTGCAAATCACAATAACTAAAATTTCACAATGTAACCCAGTAAGAGCTCACATTTCATGAAATCATATTAGCCTTCCCCCACCAGATGTGGCACTGACATGTCACTTGCTTTCAATGCTGGTGGTGACCCACTGAATTCATCTCACAACCAACTAAGGAATCCTAACCCTCAGCGTGAAAAACAATGAATTCATAACACACTGGATTTTGTCACAAGGACCATGTTTCTGCAAGAGCCTCTGGGACATCTATAAAGAGCTGTTTTCATGTTCTGTCTCCCATAAGGTATAAGCCACCAGGAAAGCAAGGCTCTGCCAGGCAGGAGCCCAGTTGAGACCTCCCTGCTCCACAGACACGGGCACCACATGTGAACAGAAGAGAGCGAGCAACTCCGAACACCATGGAGTTCAATGAGCGCTCTGAACACGAAGGCATGTGGGCGCCACAGGGTAGGGAGTTCTACAATCCACTGGGCCAGAGACTGCCTGCTTTCTCAAGGATCAAACCTTCAGGTCAACCTTCATGCCACACTTCCATTTCTCTTCCTCAGTCACCTACTGTGGGAAAACAAAGGTAAGAGGGACTGACATTTTCTAAACTCTGAGTTCCATCTACCTGGGATCCATGTCTCTGAAAAGCCTTGGCCTCAGGACCTGGAAGCATGGTCCCCACTGAGGACATGCTCCTCCAGCAGAACAGCCCTGCCGTTCTCAGCTTCACACACACGTCCAAACCATGGACCCTGACTGACATGTCTAAGCTGTGGCCATGTCCTCCTCACCTGGAACCACCTATCTTCTAAGACTGGGGATCCACCTGCGGCGTGAGCAATAATACAGCTGAAAGTCTAAAACTGGAAAGGAGGGTGGGAGGAGGCATCCTAAAGGGTTTCCACTTCATTCCCTGTGGCAGCCTGCAGAAAGATTAATGTTGCTTTCAACCCATCACACTTAGTATGGGGAGGAAGGGTTTGTTTACCTTTTCTGGGACAGCAGTAGGATTTCCTTACAGCTATGATACACAAAACACTTCCTAACCTGGTGAAGAATCTCAATCACTTACCCAAATAAAAACCTCAGCCATGAAATGCAAAAAGCTTCCTGCAATATCCAAAAAAAAATGACTCTTAAGTGAAATCAGATGAAAATGCTCTTTACAGCTTATTTTTATAGGTAATCACTCATTACATAACAACTTAACCAGAGTCACAGAAAGCCCTCCAATGGCACAACATGCATTAAAGTTCCTGCTCAAGGGCAGCACAGGCAGCTCGGCCTATGCTGGCCAGAAGCTGGGGCATCTGCAGACAGCTGTTTACAGGAGGCCACAAAGACAAGGGATAAAATAGATCCCGTGTATTTATATTCAAGTAGGAATAATGAATGAAAGAAGTTCACTTGAAACACTGTGAGTCAAACAAACTGCTTTCCCTGATGAACCCTACTTAACAAAAATTTAAGTTTTACAACTATAAACTCTAGCTAATGATACATCTGGAAAATATTTCTTCTCGGGAAGAAAATTATCTAAGTAACATTAATAAGTTAATGCCATTAGTATTCACTATGAAACAACGCCTCAAGAATACCATTCAAAACTCCCTAAGTTTGTTTCTCTTTGTTCAGCTGACCAACTTAAGACTAGTTCCATTCATCTGGCTAGTTTTAGGTAAGCCAGAATTTGGACTTCAGTGTAATAGGGTATAACCACTTCTTTGTTGCTCCTATGCGTCAGCCATCTACAGAGACAAAAAGTCACCGCAGCGGGAAAAGCTAGCTTTCTATGGCCACACAAGGCAAGTGCTTGGGCCTGGGGACAGGGCCCTGAAGACCCAAGACCTGCCTGATCCACTCCGTGATCTCCTTCCCTGAGAGCCTCCCGATGCTGGCTCTGCGGGATTCACAGTCACAGAATGTCAGTACTCAGAGACCCAGGGGAGGTGGAGATTCTGAACCCAGCCCCTCTTACAGATCCAGGATCCCAGAGAGGTTCAAGGACTTGCCCTAGCATGCACCCTGCCTCCAAGTAACAGATGTGCTCTCCACAACGGAGGAAGTATGTATCTTCGTTTCCTTGTTCACTCTGCCTAACCCAGAGCAATGTAGAAGAGAGGGCACTAAATAAACACTTGGTGCTGAATCTCAAAAACATCCAAACTTCCACCTACACCAAAATGTGCATTGGAAATGTTATCTCAACATGGATGTGTGCCTTAACCATACTGTCTTAACAGATCTTATTTATCACACCTTACAAGGTAGATCCAAAGACCAGACAATCTATAAGTCTTTATGGGTATCCCCATGACACTTTACAATTATCAGGTGCTTTGCAACACACCAGAGAAGTTGCTGTTCTACTCGAATCTCACAAGAGCTCCCAGTAGAAAGCCTGAGATATCACCATCATGTTACACAGGAGGCAATGGGGGAGCCTCTGAAAACTTGGGCTTGCTTATGTTTGGCCTATAAGTAGAGGATATAGGATTCAATCCCCATTTGAGGTCACAGAGGTCACATCCAAAGCCCTTTTCCCTATATTGTGATGCTTCAGATGCCCAAAGATTTTCTTGAAATAGTAAAGTCGGTGCTTCCAAGATTCTCCTATAGCATACATAAAAGAAAATTAAAGAAACTATTATTTTTTTTTCCTTTCCCAGAACGTGAAGGCTTACAAACCCCTGCACTACTGTTTGACCTACAAGAGCTTAATGCATACCTGAAACTCTTTCTTGCTCCAAGAGCTTAGTGTAAAGATTGAATATCTGTTCCTGGACTTTGCACACAGACCGCTTAATCTTTTCCCTGCGGGTCACCATGTAAGTGAGGTTCCGAACCTAGAACGTAGAGAATAAAGACGCTAAGTAAGCAACACATCATAACGGTACTTCAGTGTTTTTTCTTTACCTGAGAAATGTGTTCTACTAGGGCTGTGAGTGACGTCGAAATCAAGATGTACTTCAACATTTTATCCAATCTCTAAACCACTTTTGGGCTGCTAACTAGGATTCTGCGTAGGCAGCAGCCACATGGAAGAGAGACTGATGGGGACCTTGAACAGAAGCCCTGCCTCGTCCACCACACCCAGCCTGAGGCTCATCCCAGCAGGGAAGACCACTGGGGTCCAAGTCCAGACATGCCACCTCCTGCCAAAGGGCTCTGCATACCACCCCCCAGGAGCTACTCCCCATGAATTCTGATGGAAGGCTTTCGAGCAGTTCAGAAGCCACTTTATCAAGCATCTCTTGAAGATGGAATTAAGGAAGCACAGGGTCAAGGGCCATCACAGAACACCCTTGACCACACCTGCCAAAAATCATCTCTGCACCAAGCCCACTAGAAGACCAAATGGGTACCAGAATCCAAGTAAACTTATTATCAACTGGACAGCATCTGAAATGCCTGCAGCCTACAGGTAGCTACTGTGTCCCTCTAGAATGTAAACCTAGGAAACGTCCTCCTTGTTTTGCCACTGATATGCTGTCAGCATCTCAAGTCCAACTCCCTGTATCACCACCACCAACTGCCACTGCCCTCTTCCACATTCATCTGTGACAAAAAAGAGCCAAGTACTAAAAGCTCCACTTGGCATCCGACCACAGCTGCTGGGGATCCCACATATACACCCACTAACCAATATGAACTAATCGATCCCTAGATTTGTTCCCCTTTTTTAAAGCCACCTATGATCAGTTGATACGAAAACAAAATAACTAGTTAATAAATGCCCTTAACTCCTCAGTCCTCAAACCTACTGGGAAACCTGACTAGATTGCATGCACCTGAAAACACAAATGTCAAATTCAACACCCCAGAGCTACAATTAAACCTCTTCAGGAAGATGAAGACCAGAGCCTCATTAGAGCTCAGCAGCGCGAGTGCAGGGCCTCCACCTCCGGCACAGCGTGGCGACACTCCCTTAACACCGGTCTTCCTGAGGTGCGGACAACCCCTTTCCCTGCCACCTCAACTGAACAAGCTGAAGGGTTCCCGACCTTTCCCGTAAGGGTGGCAACAAGCCCCACACACAGGCCTTGGCACTTTGGCTTCTGTGCAAGCACCTCCCCTAAGGTCTCCAGTCCTTTCTGAACTCTAACCGTTCCAGCTGCCCTTCCTGTGTTCACGGCTGTCTTGTCTCCAAGAGGACAGGAGGCATAAAGAGTGACAGGCCGGCTGGCTGGTTTTCTTCTTTTTTGCATCATGGTGGTTTCCGGGCCTATTGCAGGAGCACCCAGTCAGGTTTCTGCTGACCCTCATCATCTGGCGGACTACTGAGCATCCTAACAGCTCTTCTTGATGTACAGACATGTGTGCGTGTGTATGTGTCCTCTCAGAATTAAAGAATTGAGAAGAAAATCACTCTATCTCAGAGTCGATATTATTTTGGTGTAATTCGCCCTGGCCAGAGCCTGTTCTGACAGCCTCAGGGCCCCAGGCCAGAAGATGTCCTTTCTAAAAATCCTGGCCAATATGGGGATCAAAGCGGCTCCCAGGCTATTACCTTTGGTAAGTATTGTGCCACCAGGGCAGCGGTTTGAGCGTGGAAGGCCAAAGAGAGGAAGAGGCAAGACTAGGTTTGTATCACAGATTAAAAACTTCTGCCCAACAGTTTTTACATCAGGACTCTGACTTCTGGAAATAGGAAACAGAAACCAATTCTGACATCCTGAGAACAAGCGAAGTTACTCTATTCAAGTCAGATGTACACCCAAGGTACTTACAGCTGACTTGAAAGTATCCGGGAAAACAGAAAATAAGGAAACCAGGGTACCTGAACTTTGCATATTATTTAAATTTAATTCTGATCGCTTCAACCACTATCCCCAGGAAAGGCTTCCACCCTGACTGCTAAGTGGACAAATTCCACTACTATGCCCTCATGATCTCTGATAAGAAACCTCTACCTGTAACCCCAAAGAGCTAAGGCCAAGGTGGATTTTCACTGGGACAAATGAACCCCTGAATAACCTAGCCCTGGCTGACCACATTTAGACTAGTAAGCACACTAAACCTTCCCTCTTCTATGCACAAAATACTCCTCACAGGACAACTTCCACCAGCAGCCCCAGCTGCTCCTGAATGCTCTGCCCTTCTTGCATGCCGCTCAACCAAACATCCTCCCCCCCTTCATCCTCTCGCAACTGCCAGCAAGGAGTTACCAAAAATACCAGTTCATGGGTGCGCCTTCACAACACACTATACCAGAGTCAGGCTTTCCCCCAAAGCTGTGATTCTCAAACAGAAACATAAGGGGACCCTAAAACACAGGAAAGCTGGCCACTAACCACCCCACCCCCGTTTCTGGAGTCAAAGGTGGGGTCCAAAACTCTGCATTTCTGTTACGTTTCCAGGTACTATTGCTGCTGGTTGGGGCCCGTGCTCTGAGAACCACTGCCCTCAGGAATCCAAGAATGGTCTTAAGGAGTTTTCTTGAATCCCAAACACTGCTCGCACACTAAAGCTCAACATGCATTTTGTTTGGGGACACCTGTAGCCTCTATCAGATTCTCAAAGGTGACCATTCCACTGAATGGTGAGTAGGACAGTCTCCCAGGAGGTGGCCCCTTCGCATGAGCCCCACGTGCAGAGGAGGCAGGTCTCTGAGAAAGTTCTCATTTACTGCATCTTGTAAAAGACAATGTCCAAGGGATAGGGATTCCACCAGAGTGAAGCGGCAGCCTCGGGAACTTGACACAGCCACAGACCACACCTCAGCAATTGCGTCTTCTTAAAAATGGGGGTTCCCAAACCCTCCTAAAATGCACTCCTGCCACCTAACTTTGCCATCCAGAACGGTACCCAGGTGTGGAATGCCCAGCGGTGTGTATTTGCAAGAAAGAGCTATCAATATTATCGTTCATCAGTTGTTCGCATTTCTAATGAAGGCTACTCATTTGTCAGTTTAGAACCAACCACAGCCTTGATTATAATCCCGTGTATCCATGGCTTCTGCTTACCTGCTATGAACTACTACTATGTGAATTAGAAGAATTGTAACTTAATTGAAAAAGTAATTTAGGATTTGTTCCGGTCACCCCTGCCCTGATAAACCTTTGGCCTGATATACTTAATTGTCTATAATTACAAAGCACTGTGCGGCTCTCAGGAGCACAGTACGGATTTCAATGTTTTTTAAAGCTTCCACCATAGCTGGCCTTGTGGCAAATTCTGGAAACTTATTTTTCATTATAAGAAGCCCATTTTAAACAGACACTAAATTCCCTAAAATGGCCTAGGCTTTTAATAAAATAATTTTAAGTAATGCCACACACACACACACAAAAATCCTGATTTATTCCCTGTTTCTCGTACATCATCGGTATCATTCTACTTAAAAACCAACAGTAAGGACTCCAAAAAAAATGTTTAGAATTTAATTATAAGTGCGTGTTAATCTGAGTAACTGAAGTACAGAAAAGAGTTAGTACACCACAAGCATTTTCTACACTTTTATTCTGTGGTGATCATGAGACAAACACAGTCCAAACATTTAGACTTATCGTCCTCCCTCCTGAGGACTATCTGACTCCATAGCTCATGCAACCCCACGGACCGCGGTCGTCAGGCTGGGAATAATGGCTTCTTAGTAGGACTCCAGTTTAGCTTTCTGAATCCCTTTCTCCTCCCTCTCTTACAAATGCCACACACAGGTGGTTGAGGTGAGGTCTTCTTTACACTCACCACCAGGGGGGGGTACAGCAGCACAAGAGCCTCACAAACCCTCCTCCCGCTCGGCCTCCCCCTGAATCTGGAATCCAAACCTGGCCAGAGGGGGTGTTGCAACAAGCTGGCCCTCTGGCACTTGGGTCTCCTATGGAAAGGATCTCTAATGAACACTAAATACTTCCGCACCTATGCCATCTTTCGCGGGGCCACACAGGTCTCTGTTAGAGCTGGATTTTTCAGCTTAATCCTCCTCCAATTTATCCCTGCTCTTTGCCTACGCTCGCATTTCAAATTATCTCTGTGTCAGATCCTCTCCCAGGCAGGTGAATCATTCCCTGCTAATAAGTGAGGTGCTTCGGGGCGACGCAGTAACTGTTTCAGGCCACTGGGGTGCCTTTCAGTGCAGGATGCTCCAGGCCAGAGAGCTTGGGTCCCAGTTCCTGTGCACTAATGAATTTAATCGTAGCTGGCAGTCAGGGGAGTTGCCGCAGAAGGTGCTCTAAGATGCATCCCCAATTAGCAACCTCAGTCAGAAACTACCTACGGGCGAACAGGAGGCCCTGGAGGGAAGACAGCCCAATCCTAATTATTCCTGTAGCAGGAAGGGAGGTCCAGACTGGGGCTCCAAAGATAATGGAGAGTTGGGGAGGCACAAAGCAGCCACACGTTGAAGGAAGTGCCATCAGCCAAGGCTCCAGGCAGCCCAAAGCCACTACATTCACAATCCAGTAGTGGAATCAAGTAGTGTACTGAACACTACTCAGGGCTCCTCAGATAGATGAGACAGCACTGTGCGCCAGCTAGCCCGCCCCAGCCCCGCACAGACACACCACAGACACACATGGACAGGAACACACAAGCACACACGCACAGTATATACTCTGCCTCAGTGATGACTTAGCACCTCACTGCCAGGACAACCTCCGGGAACAGATACGCATGTGTATGTAAGTTCATGCACACACATCAGCACCCACTACCTGCTCGCCCCCGGGACGGTACCGGGAATGTCCCTGTGAATTAGCGAATAAACGAGGGTGAGCCAGAGAAGCAGTGCCTAGCTCTCCTTGATGAGCCTGTCACTGGCACCCAGTGTTTCCCCAGGTCTGAACAAGAATCTTCTACTTCTGCCTGCCCCCACCATGAATCAAATCCACCTGGTCTTTCTAACTCCATCTGCAAACAATTCTGAGCCAATCCCTTGGTCGTCTTCCTGGGGCTCAGTTCCCTCTAGCACTGGAACGAAGAGGAGAGGGGACACACCCCATTTGATCTTACAGAACAACAAGGATTAGTGGGAAAAGTGTTTTAAAAATAAATCACAGAGAAGCTCCCCACTCTGTGGCAGTCTTACACATATGTACAATGAGTTTACCAGCCCATAAATATATTTAACTGACACAACCTCATGCTGCAGTGTGTACAAGGGTCTGGGAGTAAAGGAACTGGCTACCATTCCTTGCTCTGGGCAAGCAGCCGCCTCTTTGCAATCTTCTTTTCTAAGTCACTACAAGGTGTCAGTGTCAATCATTACCCTCTCCAGGTCCTGCCTCAGGTGAGTGAACAGCTGCAGCCTCCTAAACAAGACATCCTGCTCCCGCTTCGCTAGATTGTCCTCTTCATCTTTCTTTGGAGTGATCAAGGGCTTGTTGAAGTTGACCTTCCTCTTCAACTTCCAGTACTGGTACAGGAAATCCACTACTTCCTCAGGCAGCCGCAGGGCCCTGGCCACATCCAGCAGGTTGACGAAGGTGTAGAATTCATCTTCCAGCTGTTGCAGCTTCTGCTTGCGGACACTCACCCGGTGGGCCTCCTCTTGATTCTGCTCAAGGCTGGCAAAAGGCTCCAGTGGATTCCGAGGGGAACACTCAGAAGCCCCATTCTCCTGTGCGGCCCCCTCACCGAGGCTCTCCTCAGGTTTTCTATGTGAGCTATGCTTCGGGCAGTAGGACTTGAACTTGACTTCATCATTCTCTGCCAAGATGGTCTTCATCTCCAGGCCCCGGTCGAAAGCACAGGTCACATGGAAGGCCGTGCGGCAGTTCTTCACAGAGCACTGGAAAGAACACAGAGAACGCGAGAAAAAACGGTTATGGAGGACAGTGGCTGAAGGCCCTCCGTGCTGGGCACCCTCTTCACATCCACACACAGGAAGAGTGGTACTTCAAGCATGCGCCAGGAGAGGGCTCTCTACCTCAGTTAACCCTGGCATGTCTAGTCTTCTCTTAAATAAGGTATTGAAGGGAAGGAACTCTTTCCATGAAAGGTTTCATAAACCAAACCATCACTCTTAGAAAAGTAACTGCATCCGAAACGCCTCTTAAGGCAGACGCAATTACACAAATGGCACACGTAGACAAAAGTGGTCTGGCACAGATTATACTAAAAAGAACATGGGCTCAATATGCAGAGTAAACTCTGAGGAATTAACTAGTTTTCCTAGATTTGAACTCTTTTAAAAGTGCTTATATAGGGACACCTGGGTAGCTCAGTTGGTTAAGCATTTGCCTTGTGCCCAGGTGATTATCCCAGAGTCCACACTGGGCTCCCTATTCAGTAGGGAGCCTACTTTCTCCCTCGACCGTTCACCCTGCTTGTGCTCTGACAAATAAACAAAATCTTTTAAAAAATAAATTAGGGGCACCTGGGTGGCTCAGTTGGTTAAGCAACTATTTTCGGCTCAGGTCATGATCGATCCCAGGGTCCTGGGATCAAGTCCTGCATCGGGCTCCCTGCTCGGTGTCAAATAACTAAATAAATAAATAAAATTAGGTTTTTAAAGTGCTTATATAAAAAGCTTGAAAAAGAATCTCTTCAGGAAGGATAACTACTACTCGGAGTTTTTCAAGGAACATGAATCCTCCTGCTTACTTCCAGCCAGGAAGGGAACACATGGGAAAATAAATAGTACACTTCTTCCAAGCAGCCAAGTCTGACAAGAGTGAATAAAAAACTCCTGGAAAGAACAGGTAAAAGGAGAATCGAGCACAGGAAGGGGGATGGGAACAGGTCTCCTCGCCAGTGAAGAGGCTCCACCAGATGCAGAAGGCTTCTGGGGCCAGGGGAGGCCCAGCATCAGGAGACTAAACTGCAGTGTGGTAGAACAACTGCGAAGGACCCACTTCCTGTGGGCCACAGGGAGTGTTACCCAGAGACCAGGCCCCACCCTGCTGTGTCTCCCGCCTCACTAGTGTCTCCCGCCTCACTAAACACTGTCCCTCTCTCTGCCTGATCAGGGCTACAATTTAGAGCCTTGATGTAGATGGCAAGCCAGAGGCTAGCAGGAAAAAAGTCATTAACTTCTCCCCATCTGATCTCACTGGGCAAATCCCTGGAAGGAGATTTCCTTGTGGTGACTGAAGCCAGTCCCTTAAAAGCAACACTGTATTTGTGTGAGGCCAAGTGATTCCCGGGCACACCAAGACTGCAGAGGAGCAGAACCCGTGGCCGCAGGCCAGCTGAAAAGCTTAATTAAACTCATTCAACAGACCCTGAATCCCATAACTACAAATGGCAGAGGCTGGAGATGGGGCTTTTTCCCCTAATCATTTCAGTATTTAAGAGGTGACACACTGGCATCCATGATTTCTTCCATTTTTATAAAGTCTCTTTTACACAGAAGTACAGAAAATCCAGCTCCCTTCACCAATCCCATTACAAACACTTCAGGCACATGAACTCACATAAATCTGTAATTTTACCTATAAATAACCTCAATTCCAAGAAATGTGTGAAATCAGCTTTAGTGGCAGGCAGAACATGCGTGCACACACACACACACACACACACCTGGCCACTATCATTAAAAGACAAAGTGCTCCTCCCTTTTAGAGCACAGCCAAGTGGGAAGTAAAAGTGGGAACAGATGACGAGACACTATCTGGGTTTGGCTTAAACTACATCTAACCAAAACGTTCCAACCTTAAAGAGGAATGAGCTGCAGCAGAATATTTTATACAGGACTTTGTAAAAACGCCAAACGGCCTTCCTCTGGGTTTTCCTATTCAGGTTGACTCAGCAAACAGATGTTACAGAAACATAAACCAGAGCCTTCCAGCTGCAGACATTTCAGAGAGGAATTCTTTAATAAAATCAATCTATTCTGTGAAGATATGAAAAATCATCAACCTTACTTGGCCTCTTAGACTCCTTCAAATTAATGTTCTAGGCAAAAAGGTCAGTGGCGACAAAAGAAGTCATTTTACTATTATTCTTTTCAAAAGAGAAACAGAAGATCTCATTCACGCACCTCTCAGAAACACCAGTTCAGGCCTAGGATTGGTGTACTCAGAAAAGGGCACAAATTCTGCCCACAGAACATCAGGTAACATGGAAGGAAATAACTCCCATTTCCCTCGGTCCCCCTCAGCTTGTGTTCTCCAAGTGCTCACATGGGCAGGTCTATGCAAGAAATGCATTCGCAGGGCTCTAATGCTTGTTTTTAATTGAGGCTTTTAAAAAATTTTCTCTTCCATTCTCTCCCCAAAAAGTCAGAGGGTTTTGCCATGTTTTAGTTTTAAACTGATTCTATTGATGTGCAAAACCCTCCACTATTTTCAAGGTGTGTAGCCAAATCCCACCACCTATCTCGTGCCTCACCCTCTGAATATTTGCTACATTTTAGATCCTTGAACTCCAGTGGAGGTGATAATGAAGAAAAGTAGAAACACCAGGCTTACAAAATGAAAAATTTTAAAAACCTCTGGTCAGTAGATAACTTTACTGAAGTAAATATTAGCCAAAATACAAAATAATTTTGCCCAATGAGGTCATTTCCTTAAAACCTAAGCCCAACAGTTCATATCTGTGCTGATCTGTTGTGTCGTCTGCATCAAAAGAAGCCACTCCAGAGGGACCTGCCTGGATGGCTCAGTTGTTAAAATCTGTCTGCCTTCCAGGGGAGTCAAGCCCCATGTTGGGCTTCCTGCTCAGCTGGAAGCCTGCTTCTCCCTCTCCCACTCCCCCTGCTTGTGTCAAATAAATAAACAAAATCTTTTAAAGAGAGAGAGAATCCACTCCAAAACAGTGCCCTTCTCTGCTCTTAGTGTTGTGGAGACCGAGGACCAGCCCGTGGCCCTGAGCTGTGGACCTCCTATAGGAAGAGCTGGACTTGGCCTTTAGGGCCAATGTCTACCACAAACAGCATCTGAAGACCTGGGGAATGAAGCAGCATCCTGGTCCTCTTAAGTCATGACTCTAAATGCCAATAACAAGAGGCCTGGGGGCGCCTGGGTGGCTCAGTGGGTTAAGCCTCTGCCTTCAGCTCAGGTCACGATCTCAGGGCCCTGGGATCGAGCCCTGCATCAGACTCTCTGCTCAGTGGGGAGCCTGCTTCCCCCTTCTCTGTCTGCCTGCCTGCCTCTCTGCACACTTGTGATCTCTATCAAATAAGTTTTAAAAAATCTTTAAAAATAAACAAACAAAACAAAACAAAAAACAAGAGGCCTGAAATTAACCTCTGGAGCAGAGTTTTTGAAAAACTGAAAAATCATTTATATTCCCTCTATAATTCTATCTACCTAACGTCTGTGTGGTGTGTGTGTGTGTGTGTGTGTGTGTATGTGTACACAGTTTGCACACAGCAGCTCTCCCCCACCCCTGACCCCACCCCACAAACGTGGTGCCTTGACAAATCAGGTATCCAACCTGGATTCAGGTAACAGCTTCTGCAAACAACACTTGGTGCAGCACCCCTCCAGTGTCCCTCTACCTAGCTGGTGCTCCAAGGACTCTATTCTACCAAACACGAAAATATCAGCACACTGAGTTGATTTTCAACAATGCACAGCTAAGGTCTGACACACCCCATGAGCACACTGAAACAAGCAGGATTGGGAGGCAGCCACAGAAGCGGGTCTGCCACCGGCCCTGTAAGGGCCACTGGGAGGGTGGCCAACACTACAGTGTCCAGAATGGTTCTTCCCGGAAGGTGTCTGCCTGTGGAAAGAGCCTCAGTGCCAGGCTTGGGGCAGAAAGGCAGAAACCAGAGACCAACGGGAACTGCCTTATGGCTCAAGTAGACTTCCGAGTTGCCTGTAATTGTTACAGCTAGGGTTCTGGTTACACTGGATAGAATCCACCAGCTAAAGATGTTTGCACTGGGCTTGAATCCTTCCTCAGCAGCCTCAGAAGAACTGTGAGAACCTTGATTCTAGACCTAACCCCAAAGCCTCTGACAGTTCACAGAGCCCTCCCTCATCCAGCCCCAAAACAGAGAAAGAAAATGACACTATTGTGACTAAGTGGATTACCTGTATGGAGGCCCCAAACTTCTCATTGCAGAGGCTACACACCAGCGCCCACCGACTGCTGGGGATGTGAGACACCTTCGTGATGGGTTCCATCTTCTCAGGGCTGCCAATGCTCACCTAGAGGCCCAAGGAATAGCAAGACAGGCTGGCAGAGGCCATCTGACAAGCAAGAGCTGAGCATGGACAGTAGAAACATATCTTCCTACGGACATCCTACCAGCTGGTGGCAAGGGGCATGCATGCACTCTCTAGGGCAGGAAAATCCCTACTTCTGAGCATCTGGACAGTGCAGGTGCCAGCTCTGGGCCAGCAGCAGTAGAGAACCCAGAGCCCAGTCCCCTCCATGCTCCATGCCCTCCATGCGTCGAGGGTGGGGGGGTCCTGTTTATGAAATACTCAGGTAACTAGTAACAGTCACTTCTCACCTGAGTGTCTGACAGCAAAAGATGGGTCTGTATCAGGACAATGCAATCTAACTAAACCTCTGGCCCACAATTAAGTGGTCAAGACTAAAAAGCCTTCCTAGATGTATTTAAATAGTTTGTGAACAATGAAGTAAATACATACTAATTTTAGCATCTCCCTCAGTGAAGAAAACCATTCTTGCCAATCAGAAAACATTACTACAATTCAAAGCGGAAAATTACCAAGATAAATAGGCATCCTGTCTGCATTCAGCCTGGATCACTAAACTCTATCCCTATTAATTAATAACAAACCATGAGATTCAGTGGTACCAAGACTCCAATCCAAATCATTCCCAGATAATATTCCTCAGGAGAAAAAAAATGCACCAAAATCACACCCACCCCCCGCAAAAGCTGCAATTTGAATCACAAATGACAGTCTCATAGTGAGCCATGCAAATCAAATTAGTCAAGGTCTGGGATTTGAAATAAATTAGACCAGACCTGAAATTAAAAAGGTTGAGGCTAAGTTAGAATTTTAATAAAAATCACAAAAATGTGACCTAAAGCAGTGGTTCTTTAACCATCTAGTGCTGCATGGAAGGCTCACCAGGCCCAGGGACTCAGAGCCGATCCCTAGGGAAGGCCAGAGCAGCACCCAGGCCAGACCGCCACAGGCCCACTCCTGGCAGCACGTGTCAGCAGTGGGAGGGTCAGCTGGGACACAGTTCTGAAGTGGTTTGAACACAACCAAGAGTCCGACTGACTGCTGCTTCCAGTTAACATTCCCACAAATTTATGTACCAAGTCAAGAGGTCAGTATGCCTGAGATTCCGTTTAAGAGGGAGGAAAAGAAAGACAACAATTAATAGGTGTCTTTTCACTCATAGGCTATAATACCCCTATTTATGAGTGGTTCCCCACCCCCAATCCCAGCTATAAAGCCCATAGTACTCCTGAGCTAGGCTACTACTAAGAACTACACCTACCTCAGGGATCCACAGAGCACAGCTGACATGGACCCATTTGGTGCCACTGCGGGTAGGCTTCATCGCTCCGCCTTTCTTGGGACACAGCAAACATTTTGGCTGAACCCCCAGGGCACACGTCCGGCACAGCCAACTGCCCTCCGGGACCTTGAGGATTCCGTAACAGGCCTGTGAAGCCACAGCACATCCCCCAAAGAAAACAGAGAAAGAAGAAAGATTTATTTTTCCCTGTGTATGTGTCATTTAAAAAACACCCAGAAAGACTTTAACAGAATAGAATAGAGGTACTCCCACATCCACCTAGCTTAGCTGGAGACCCTCTCCCTTTAGCAAAAAATGCCAGCCAGCCTCACAGCAGCAGCCTGGAGGTATCTGGGATCTTCAGGGATAAACACATCCTTATTTACCAGAAGGTGGTCCTGAAAAATCCTGAAGGACAAAAAGCTTGACAGAAAACCTGCTTTACTCTATTGCTACGGGCACCCATCTATACCAAGTTTCTAAATATTGGGCAATAATTCTCCAAACACCCCAAGAGGCTAAGTGGGGGAAGCTTTTCCTTCTCTGATATACTAATGTGGGTGGGATACCAAAGCGAGGGAAAAATGCACAAAGCAGTTGAGTCTACAAAAGCTATTCATTCAATGAGATGGCCTATGAAATAAGAATGAACTAAGGAGCATCTGCATTCCCACAGTCAAACAAAATCAGCTCACTAGACCCCACCACTCTCCCAAGTGAGCACAACATGCACAGAAAAATGAGACCCTGTAGACAAAGAATTTGGTGTCTTCAGCCAATATTTAAAACAAAGCCTGCTTTGCACAAGATGGCAACATTACACCAGACAACACAGAACTGCTGAAATCAAGGATTTTACCACTGAAGTCATTAAGATGGTTCAAAAATAAGAAAAGGCAAATGTTAAATGTGAAAAAACAAAACCGAGATGGTACCAGGAGCACATTCAGAACCTTTAAAAACACCAAATTATTCAGTACTTTATCCTTAAAGAAGCCAGAAGACAGGAAGTCAAGACACAGTAACATAGCTCCAATCCTCCAGACAGGAAAAACACAGCCATTCTGCGATCTGAATAGCCAGGACACAGAAAGGAAACCACAAGCATGAAGAGAGGAGCAAAGTTAAGCAACACCAAGACTGGAGCTTAGGAGCCCTAGGTCGGTGCCATGAGTAAGCCACTGTCAACACAGACTTACTGGAAAAAAATTTTTTAACAGAGCTAAAAGACATTATTAAGTTTTCAAATACTAAAAAGGTCTGTATCAGGCATTCTAGAAAAAGTCACATTTGAAGTGAGAACTTTTTTTACTGGAAAATCAAGTCTACACTAAATTAAAAAATTAAATATAGTATGCCCTCAAGAGAAGCCTTCAAGAACCTCCCAACAGGATGGTGATATAAATGTGAGGGCAAAGGGACAATGTGGCATGGCAGGCTGGGCAGAGGGGTGGGGCTGGGGGACCAGGGTCCCAAGTCCCAGTTCCAATGCAACTAAACCTGTACAACGGGCCCTAAACAGCCCAACCTACCGTTAGTGAACCCATTTATAAAAGAGGGGGTTCAACTAGTTTTCAAGCAGAACCCTTGTTTTCAAACAAAAAAAGGGTAAAAATGTAAAAAAAATGTAAAATGGCATAAAAAATACTGAATCATCATCCAGGAAAGGAACACCAGCAACAAAACAGCAACACTGGTAGTCAGAGTGATCTTGACACAACAAAACCACTTTGAGAATTTTGTTATCCCAGGGAAACTTCAAAGATAATCTGAAAATCTAGTGCCAAAAGGTGGCCTGTAACAGAACTAGAGCAAGAGACTGTGGCCTCCTGTCTCCTTGTCAGGATGAGTTGACACAGGGCCACCAGTGGTGACATCTTCAAGAGGGGAAGCCTCCTTCTTGTAGAAGGAATACACGATCAGCAAGAACTTCACAGAACAAACCTGATTCTTCTTTCTTTGAGGTCACCCAAAGAACTATTCCACAGGAGTCTTTAAGTTTGTTTTAAATCTCACCATCAACAGTTGAGTGATAGCCTTTTCGTGAGTGTATATACAAACTAGTGTCCCCTCAGAAATCCAAATTACTTCATTACTGCATTAAGGAATACGTGAGAGAAGAGATGGAGATGGTCACAAGCTTTTTAAAATTACCCAGCACCCTTCTTACTGATGTTGGAGGCTTTACCTTTCTGTGGATGGTAGCAAGCAAGCACCAAATGCCAGTGGGCACACGAAGGAAAGTAAGTAACATTTAAGAAAAGGAATCTCCTTACTCTTCTTTTAACATCACAGTTTATAAGCGAACACATTAGCGAATGTTATGGGTTGAACTGAGTCCCAAACAGATAAGAAGTTATCCTAACCCCAAGTCCCTCAGAATGTGGCCTTATTTGGAAACAGGGTCTTAACAGATATAACCAGCTAAGATGGTATCATATGGGAGTAAGGTGGGTCCCTAAATTCATTCGGAGTGTGCCCTTAGGAGAACGTGGCCATGTGTGAAGACAGACACACGAGAACACTGTCAGACAACAAAGGCAGAGACTAGAATTGTGCAGCTGCAAACCAAAAAACATAACTGTTAGCAAACTGCCAGAAGCCAGACAGAGGCAAGGACGGCTTCCCCTAGAAGTTTTTGAGGGAACGTGGGCCCACCAACCCACCACTGATTTCACACTTCCAGTCTTCAGAATTGCAAAATAATAAATGTCTGTTATCCACCCCGTTTGTGGTATTTTGTTATGGCAGCCTAACAAACTAATACAGCAACCTAACTAGCTTTTAGAAACTGCCCCCTGCCCTGCCCCCAGTGTTCATATCTAAACTCAGGTGTGAGCCAGTTCAGAGGGGCTGCATATATTCCTCTGAAGCAAACCTTACTTCTGTGGATGGGAATAAAAACATTATGCAAGGGAAGAAGATCTCCACAGAGGATCCTCTTCTTCCAGATGTAAGAAAGTAGTAGGAAATACTTCAGACACTGTAAGAACCTATTAGGAACAAAAGATGTCGTCCACAGAGCACACCTCTTTCACTCACTTAGGACAGCAGGAAAACAGACCCCATCTGGAGGGAGACCTCTGGCCTCCCTGGCAGCAGGTGAGCTCACACCCCAGGCGGCTCCGTTCTTTCTGGGCCTTATTGCCTACGTACCTGGTGCACACAGATGTTGCATTTGTCACAGAACACCATCTCATTGCCGTCCTCACCATCAGGTGACTGGCAGACATCACAGACAACATCTTCATCATATTCAATCCCCAGGCCTTCTTCAGTCTCTATAGCATGATTCATATTGTCATAGCATCGCTGTTCGAATTCCTCTAGGACCCTTTCCATGGTGTATTCATCCAATTCAGGCATTCCTAAAGGAAAAGTGCCCCAAAAACATTTTAATAAAACCATATTGATAAACATTACAGTAAGACATTATTAGTATATTTGTATTTATAATGCATAATCTTATAAATAAATCCATCCTGAGGATCCCAAACATCTTCTACGGAATGCCTCTCAGACTGTTCCAAGGAAGGATCTTCAAATTAAAAGGCAAAAAGAATCTTCCATGCAACAGTCTGTTACTTATGGTCAGGCACTGAGCTATAGTGTTGTAAGCAGAAAAGCAAAAGATAAATCCCAAAAGGGTTTAAGGATATTAAACACATATATTGTTAAACTAGCATTTTATTATATGATACATAACAAAACCATGACCATATGGGGCACCTGGGTGGCTCAATTAACCATCTGCCTTCAGCTCGGGTCATGATCCCAGGATCCTGGGATCAAACCCTGCATCGGGCTCCCTGCTCAGCAGGACAGTCTGCTCCCTTTCTCTCTCCCTGCTTGTGCATGCATACACACTCACTCTCTCTCACATAATAAATAAAATCTTCTAAATAAATAAATGAATCTTTAAAAAAAACAACAACAACCACCACCATGACCATATATTATAGTTTGGGTGTCTTCTGAATAACACTCCTTTCTTGCTACTGAAAATGTTGCTCTGAGAACAGATTTCACTGTGAGCACACAAATGTTTTTAACTGGTTTATCCCTCCTCACCCTCTGAATTTACAAAGTTGAGATGCATAGTCAATCAGACACATGAAAGACGGAAACACAAGGAATGTCTGAAGCAAGGGAAACAGCTCATTGTGAATCAAATAAAATGCATTCTTATGCAAGAATGATCAAAAATAAATTTCAAGTGGTTATCGTGGTTACAATACTGGTAAGATGAGACTTTTATTTCCTTCCATTTGTGGATATATTCCAAACTTCCTACAATGAAAATACTCATACAGAAAGAAAAACCAGGTTATAAAAATATTCTAACAAAACATGTAAGTGGCCAGAAACAATAGGTCATTAGAGCCAACTTCTATGCACTCTGATATATACAAAGCCATCAAATTAACACTTCAAGTTTTTAAAAACTTGGGAGGACACAGAGCTTCCACCATGATAAGCTCTAAGCACATATTCAAAAAAGCCACCTACCCATCTCCCACACTCCAGTTACTGATAAAATACTCCACTGCCTGGCCAGGCACCTACATCTCAATTCCTCCTACCAGTTTTGAAACACTGGCTTTGAAAATACAATTCTATGCCCTATAATTAACTTCTACCATTACAAAGACCAATAAAAACTAAAACATCTTAAAAAGCGTATGTTCAATTTATGTTAGACAACCGCATATCAGTCTTGCCAAAGTATTCCAGACTACCTTTCCATCTGGCGAGTTAACCCAGTACTCGTTACTTAAACCACCCACAAAGGCCTCAGCGTCTTTGGCTGTACCCTCTACCATAAGACAGGACACCTAGTCAAGTGCATGATACAGGTCTTCCCACAGCTGTCACAAAGCAGAAATTTATAATCTTTGAAGCTAGAACTGAACGGTATTCAGTTCCAAGAGAGCTCTGAAAACTTATCAACAGATTATGTCAAACAACCTCCTGGCTTGCTAACATCCTGGTCACTAATACCTAAAAGCAGGGACCAGGAGGAAGGCACTGTACTTTGTTAAAATACGTGAGTGATCAAACAAGGAGAAAGCAACAACCTTCCTGGCTCAGTTGGCTTGAATGCCCCCATCCAGTGGGCCGAGGCCCAGGGAATGCGGCGGCACAACATGCACCTGCTGTCCGCCAGGCCCTATGTGAGGCTCAGGGACTCATCCACAACAAAAGCAGTCTCTGTCCCTCAGGGCTCTGAAATCTACCACCAAGCATTCTATAAACGCTTACTGTGTGCCAAACTGCCAACAGACCTCTCTGCCACCTCTCCCCAACTCAGGACCCACAGCACAAGTTCTAATGAATCCTCAGTCTCTCACTCCAAGCCCAGACTTGACTGACCTCCGTGCTCCTGCTCATCACAGCCCTTCAAGCAGCACTTAGCAGCCTGAGGTGACAATGTAAGATATAACCTACATACCATCCTGGTCTTGACACCAGGAGGCGCAAGTAAAACGAGGTACAGAAGCCCCAAATTGTAGATAAACACAAAAAGAGTAACTTATAGAAAATAGCCTACAATGGGCAAAACATTCAGCCAAGCGGGGGTTTCACAGAAAGAAAGCAGGACAGAGGTGAATGGGAAAAGCACTCCAGGTTTGGAGCAGGACTTGAGAATCACAGAAGTAAAAATACAAGAGGTGTATTAGAGAACGGTGAGCTTGGCTGGTGTGGAGTTTCCTGAGAGAAACAACAGGCCACAGGAAGAAAGGATCTGAATGGCACTGTAGGAAAACACCACCAGGGCATGAAACTGTGTGGACCAGACCCTCCTGTCATCTTGGGGAAGTTGCTTCATCTCTCTGAGCTTCGGTTCCCTTGAGATAAGCAAGTGAGGGGGGTAGATCGGGGCAGAGATGGGGAATCCTGCCTCCCATACCCATGGAAAACATCTTCCTTCAATCCCACCACTCTATTCACAAGCCACTCACAGACTCAGTCCCGTTGAACACAGGTGCCATAGCCAGGCACACTCATCTCCGAAAAAGACCCCATGATTCTGAAACAGAAGCTAGAATGGAGCGGACTTCACCAGACGATGCTGAGGGGCTTCTGCTACACACCCATATGCCTGAAATTCTTCTCTACTCATCATTCATTAATGAAGCAATATAACCCATGGTCTCTCACCCATCTCCTTAAATTCCTCATTGGTCAGTTCCAGCCATGCAGCATCCATGTCGTTGAGGTCGTAACGACACACACTGTCGGCCAGTGTCCGGATATCAACATAGCCCAACTCTGGAGGCTCGGAGCCTGGCGACACAATGTATTTCTTGGGCCTGATGAACATGAGGGATTTTTCTTCAGACACGACCCTAGTTAACAAGAAAACAAAGCAGCCAGGTTACCCTTCCTGCCACAAAAAAGGAAGTCTTTCACAAGGCCCAAAATTTGCTTCCACTTACAACACCCTAATCCCCAGGATATCACGGGATAAACAGGCTAACACTGAGACATCCTCAAAACAGCTTTTTCCAACTGGCTTCCTGGGATACTGCACGCCCTGCCTTGAGCTAGGACAGTGGCTGCCCTGACCTGCTCGCAATCCCGAAACACTGACCTCCTAAGCTTCAAGAGTTAGCGATTAAGTCACTTTCAACCAATCAGGCCTGCCCACCCTGCTGAATGTCTAGCACCAGGTTCTTCAGAACATGGCGGCAGGACATGCACAGCAGGGCCCTGGGGAGCCAAGGAGACAAACCCACCACCTCTAATCTTAAAAATAAAATTAAGCCTTGCCCATTACTAAGCAAGCTAAGAATGTGAGAGGCCTAGCCAAGTAGGGGACTCTCCCAACATATGCTTAGGACCCCAGGAGACGAACACAAGCTCCCACTTCTCCTTATACTACCACCCTCTCCCCACACCTGTTAAGACCTGGAGCGCCTTTCACTACACCCCACTCAAAAGAAATGACAGCACACAAGACTGAATCCCTCCCAACTTGGAAGGAAGAGCCCTCTTCCTAAAGACATAGGCCCAGCATCACGGCCCCACATTCCCACACAGTTCCTCCCTCCATGCTGCCATGTCAGCAGACCAACAGCAGGTGGTCCAAAGAGTGTCAAAGTACTGTCATCAACCTCGTAACTACCAGAGTGATTTTACCTACAGGTAAAACAGGCAAACCAAAGGGAGTTATTTCTCCGACTCAACCAAGAGCAGGGCTTTAGCTAAAAACTCCATAAGCTGTGGTTAACATGTACTGCTCTTGGTCTGGGCTCGGTCTGGGCTCCCAAATAAAAAAATGACCTGGCGAGTAATTCTGGATGGGGACTGCCATCCAAACAGTGAAAATAGTGCTGTGCCCCAAACGTAGATTCGAAGGCAAACATGGTGTTTATCCTGCAGGGCCAACGACTCTGGCCTACGGAAGCATCGGATTGGTCATTTAAGCATGCACATTTAAGGGGACATTTGTCACAGAGACTCCAAACAACAATAATCAGCAACGGTAAGAGTCCATTTCACAAAGCCGGCAGCTAACCAACAGCACAGCAGAGAAACCAGGCGTTAGCTGAGCGCAGAGGCCCTGAGTCTTCCCTCCCTATGAGGGGTGTCCACAGTCAGCTGAGCAGCACAGTGAAGGAAGGAGCAAACAGGCCCCAGCTCCATGCGGAGGCAGGTCATCAAGGCCCCGGACCCACAAGACCCTTAAATAAAATAATAAGAGAACTCATCAAACGTCCCTCCTCTGAAGCCCCCCTTCCACACAACCATAACCTGGCAGGTCTCCTCACACCTGCCCTCCTCCAGAGGTGGAACCTATCCCCACAATAGCCACGAAGCCAGGCACTCCTCTCCAGCAGAACTGCTCCCCAGAGTGAACACAACTGGGGGTGGGGTGAGGGGAAAAAAAAAAAAGCAGCAGTTGTGTAAACATCCCAATTTCCTCCCCTCAACCAGTCACCTCCCTGCAATGTCTTGGAATTTGCCCTCCTTTCGTAAGAGAGCAGCACCTTCCCAAGATGGCTGGAATATTAAGTATGGAGGCCCATGGCCCACAAAATCACTCCCTCTGGACCTAAAGCATGTTTCTACACATTTCTGTGGCCACTTGAGGCCCCCTCTTAGTTCACTGCTCTTCTCAGGCACCTGGCTGTCAGCAGAAAGGCAATGGCAGGTGGAGAGACACGTCTACCTGGCCACAGGCTGAGGGATGGTCCCTGGACTCACGGGCACCTGGACCCCTTTCTCCCACTCCTGTCTCCAGGGATCTGCCAACACATAGTACTCATCTGGGTTCAGCTGATAGGAGTCATGCAACTTCATAGCAGTGATCAGGTCTGTCCTAAACACCTGGAAAGGGAAAGAAAGGGTCACTGACATGTGATATTTACATTCTGACTCAGAGTGCTGGCAGCTGCAGGGTAACCATGGAGCTGCCGTGTAACAAGGTCACTGTATCAGCAGAGACCAGGTCTGACCTATTACAGGAACCCCTTGGCCTGCCGTGCCCCTTGGCCTCTCAGGCTGGGGGCGGCAATGGCTCACACCAGCCTCTCACTTCCTCATCAACTCCACAAGCCTGCAGCATCTCTGAGAGCAGCGAAGCAACCTTGTCCTCCTCCTCCCAAAAACTCTAGAAACTCTCAATTCAAAAGAGGGCTGCTGAGATTTCACTCAAGGGTGCTCTTTTGGTAAGATATAAAACTCCATTAACCATGCAACAACTTCAAGCCAAAACCCAGAACTGCCAGGCCTCCTCTCCCATACGCAGAACACCACCACCCAGCTCCTGCCTCCCAGAGCACCAGGGCCTGCAGCAAGGTACCCGGGCAGTCAGGTCCTGGCTGGCAGATGCCACACATAAGTACATGTGGGGAAAATATGGGAAAGAAGCAACGACAGACCAGTGGGGTCAAGTCAGAAAAAGGGCTTGTAAAGAACATGTTTACACGTTTGTTTACCTGGTATAACTTCTATAAGGGAAGCAGTATTTGAGAGGAAAGGAGGGGAGGGAAGGAGAAAAAAAGAAAGCAAGCAAGCTACTCTACCCTCTCTTCACCCCACCTAAAACCGACCCCCCCCAAAACTCCAAAGCACCCCTGTACAGGCAGAGCTCCTCAATCTCTCATCAGAGGTAGAGACAAGAGCAAAAGTGGCCCTCGCAGGGCTGCTCTTCCCAACTGGGAAAAGGGCAGAAGTGCAGCGCCAGCGGCCAGACGGGGCCTTGTCCTCAGTCCACCAGTGTCTCAGGGCTACATAAGGAAGCTCTGACCCTGGCATTAGCGCTGGCCCAAAGTTGTATTTGGCACAAAGCATGCCTGCATCTGTAAGCTACACTCTCTGTTTACACAAGTCACAATGCTGAACTCTCTCTTCTTGGGACAGGGAGTTCTTTCTTAAGCTGTGAAGCACAGTTCACATTATACGCCTGTTAATAGGTCCATATTTGTTTCTCCTGGTGGCTTTTCAGACTGGTGATCACTTTAATAAACTTCACCATAATAAAGTCTGAGGGCAGTGTCTGAATAAAAAGTCCATTTCTCTGGCCTGCCATTTTTTTCAACACAGACTTTTTCCCCACTATGCCACTTCTCGTTTCTCAAGTCCCAGTAACAAGCAATAACCTGGCTGTGCACCGTCTGCAAAAGCACAAGCAAGGTCAGGCTCCCCTGCAGCACTGAGCCCCCGAAGCAGGCGCCCAGCCCAGATGCAAAGGACCCGTATCACCCATGCCCTTCTCCCCCAACCAGAGAAAAGTGCTTTAAAACAAAAACCACAAGTCTACATCTTCAGGAAGCAAATCAGTTAAAAAACACATTCCAACTAAGCCTTGCCAGTAAAAATCAAGGGAGTAAGCCAAAGGAGAAGGAAAATCAAACTGCGGCAACAATATGAGAAAAGGCAACCCACCCTTCCTTTACTCAAAGACTCGGAGGACAGTCAAGAACTCAAACAGATGCCCTACACAGACTCCTCAGTCTCTGGCAGAATTCGATGTTAGCACTAACCTATGTGTAAAGTAGTCTGAACTAAAAGCTCAACTCAGAATTTTAGGGGGGGACAAGGCCGGTGCCATCCATGCCGCTCTGCCTCCTGCTGCCTGGTGCCCCTCAGACCCAGTACTAGCTCGCCCATCCTAACCCCCCATACTATTGTCCTGAAGTAACAAATGCATGCAGCGTGAACGGGAGGACACTGGTTGTGGAGGCAGCAGAGAGAATTAAGAAATAAAGACAGGCAGAGCCGCTCAGATCCCACAGGAAAGGAGGAGAGCACGGCAGATCAAAAATGACAAAGACCTGGGAAAACGAAGGCAATAAAACAGCCACCTTCCCATGAAGGTTTGATCTAATGTTTAAGTGTCTCCTGGGATGGTTTTCTACTACGATTCCTCATGGAGAATGGTATTCCACAACTAACAACTCCTAACCTCAATATAGCCAGCGACCTCAGCCCTCCCATTACAGACCCAGAAAAAGGAGGAGCTGGTGGAGCACAGGCCTCAGCTCCGCAGCTACAGGATGAGGCAGCCTCTGAAGCCATCTATTCAAAAGGCAATACAAAACCAGGGGCTGAACCTAAGGCCCTCCTCCCCACAGCCTGCCCACCTGAAAACTGTAGTGAACTAAAATGCCCTTTCTGCGATCATTCAAATCCTCAGAGCCTGGCCAAGGTTGTCAAATAAAACCTATCTCTGGCCTGGTAGAGGACCCTAATCAACAAAGGCCTGCAGAGAAACGCACCTAAAAGCAATTTTAAATAAAGAGACAATAGATAATAAGGAGGTAGGTAACAAAATGTGGGGGAGCAGGAAAATAGAAGATGAGAAACAAATCGAAAAAGAAGGGGGAAAAAAAAGCCTTAAACGTAATCGCCGAAACAAAACTCCCAGAATTACAATGGGTTGTTGCCAAATAAGCCACAAATTCATGGCCAAAACTAACTTGAGGCTGGCAGGGACTGGCAGCAGCCGAACCCGCTGATCTCCTGGCCAGAGGAAAAGTTGTTGGGAGCCAGCGAAGATGAAACAGAAAAGGAAAAAAAAGAATATAATTAATCATAATAGCTAACATTTACTACTGAGCACTCTTTTAAGTGCTTAGTATGTATTAACGTCTGTGTATTAACCCCTCTTAATCCTCACAAGAATCCTATGAGGCAAACACCTGTGTCTCCCCCATTTTAGAAATTTGAAAACTGAGGCCAAAGTAGTTAGATAATTTGCCCACGATTGCAGAGACATCAGTATCAACCAACCAGGTGTGTGCCAACCACATGTACTCATGCACACGGTAGGACATGCACAGTCACACCATCATTCAGGAAATACCTCTGAAGGTTTTCGATCTTCATGTCTGGAGCAGGAACCTCTCCTGTGCTGCGATCGGGAATTCTGCGACCAAGTAGTTGAGAGGCCTAAAGACAAATATCCGAAGAAGAACAATTAAAAGTACACAAATCACTGTGTGTTCACGGGGTTTTGGTTATTTTAAAGATTTTATTTATTTGAGAGAGAGTGAGAGCGAGCAAGTGAGCGAGCAGGCACCGGCAGGAGCAGAGAGAAGGGGTGGGGGCAGGAGAGAGTAGACTCACTGCTAAGCCCTGCTCAGCCCCAGGTTTGATCCCAGGGTCCCAGGATCACAACCTGAGCTGAAGGCACACCCTTAACCAACTGAGCCAGACACCCCGGGACTCCCACAGGAGATTTTTTAACCAAATTCAACAAGGCTCACCTCAGCGCCTCCCCACAACATAAGCGGCAATGCTCCTCCACTCTCAGTACTTACTTAAACCACACACTTTCCAGAGCAGGCCTAACCAGATCCCTCCGTCCTGGCTCTGTATCCCGCTCTGTGTGTAACAGCACACAGGAGGGGGGCATTTTAAGCGTATCACCCATGCAGAACCTTCATCTGTAGGTCTGCACTTCAAGAGGTTCCAAGTCTCTCACATTGGTAAATACAATGTGAAAAGCATTTGAGTTTTCAATAAACTTTCTAAATGCTAGATCATTATGTTAAATCATAATGCCACCCCCCAAAACATTAAAAAACAGTTCTGACTCCACAAAACATAAGAACTTTGCATGGCCTGAAACGGGGAAGCTCAGACTGCACCAGACTAAGTGCTATGGCCAATTAACTTTTAAAATTGCCTACTCACCTTGCCCAAAAAAATGCCAACGGGGTCTTTTCTGTGCCTTTCTTCCACAACTAACTAATGCTCTACGATCCAGCCACTCCCCCACCAGGCCACAGAATCCAGAAGCCCTACCAGGGCACCCATATCTCCTAAATGCCACCATGTCTAAGCCCCTCTCAGGCCTAAGACCTCTTTTGCAGCATGAACTCTATCCTGCTTGAGATGCTCCCTCAGCCTGGGTGGGAATTCTCTTCCCTGGTATCTACTCAGTGCTAACTTCAGTCTTCGATGAACCCTGAACACATTAGCATTTCTCCTTCTTGCTCCAAGTATTCTCCCCATGGAGCAGTCATCCCTGCCCTTGGGTCTTCCCAATGTGCCCAGGAGACTGTCAGAATCGCATTTCCACTCTCACCTCCCTGCCAAGCTCCAGGTCCACGTTCACCTTCAGATAAGACATCAACTTCAGGGTTCCTTAGGTCAATCAACTCCACACGATAAAAAGTGGCCTCAACATTTTACCCAAACCTGTTATTCCTCTTCTATTTCTACTGTGATGAATACCACTACCATTTCTACTAGAATTCAGAAATCTAAGAGTCATCCTAGACTCTCCTCACTCAGGATACATCCAACCATTGGCCGAGTTATATTCAGTGCAAATACCAATACCTCAGAATCCCCGCCTCTCTTCCCACCTCCACCTCTGCCTCCTCACTTGTTTTATTGGTCAACTGCAGTGGCTTCCTGTCTGTGGGTACCTTACCACCACCAGAGAGCTGAAACAGCCCTCACAACTGCCCCTGGCAGGTGCTGAACTTCCTCATCACTCACCTCGAACCTGAACACATACTGTACTATTTCCCAGAAATGAACAAACCTCCGCAAAATAAAAGCACAAACCTAAAGGAACTGCCTTCTACCAATAAAATCATTTGCCACTCAAGTAGGAAGCTTTTATCTCTGTGGATTCCAGAGACGAGGGACACAGAATCAAAACACCTTAAGACCTTGGAGACATTAAGAAACAGATTGTACACATAAGCCTATCATCAGATTTGCAATGATGGAGACTAAAGGAGATTTCCAGGCTCCTCTGACACAGATGGGGGTAGTACCCTTGATCACCAGTTCTGAAGGCTCTTACTGGGTCAAGTGACTGCTGTTAGGTTAGCAGAATTACATTTCCTACAGGTGGCCCTACTGTACTTTCGGTAAATATTTTAGAAAATTCTTCCTTAAAGTATAGTAAGTATGTCTCTTTGGACTCTAATCAGTAAGAATGTTTCACTCCCACACTGAAGGAAATATTCTGGGCACACAGGAGTGCAAACCCAATTTGCAAAAGCTCTATGTCCAGTCATCAGCGGAAAAAGTAGAGACAGAAGCCAACTCAGGAACCTGGAGAGGCAGGCAGATGGTTCATGTCTTCAGACAGGTCTCTTTTCACCCTCTGGTCCTGCAGGCCCTCCTCCAGCCAGCCCACAGGCCAAGAGAACAAACCGAAGAGTACAAACAACAACTCTAGAAGGATGCCCAACTGTTTGTGGAGAGGAAAGAAGATACAGGGCAAAAAGGCACGGCCCCTTTCCTTTGAATTACTAGGAAAAGGATTATAAATATAAGAAAACCAGAAATTTTAGAAGAATCATCCCACTGCTATACTATAAAATGAATATAGAGGGGAGGTGAGTCTTTACAGTCAAATACTTTCAGAGTTAAAGCAGAAAATAAATTTGCTCACTTTTTAAAAAAGTTTTATTTAAGTGATCTCTATACCCAATGTGGGGCTCAAACTCAGGACTCCAAGATCAAGAATTGCATGCTTGGGGCGCCTGGGTGGCTCAGTGGGTTGAAGCTTCTGCCTTCGGCTCAGGTCATGGTCTCAGGGTCCAGGGATCGAGCCCCACATCAGGCTCTCTGCTGGGCAGGGAGCCTGCTTCCCTTCCTCCCTCTCTGCCTGCCTCTCTGCCAACTTGTGATCTCTGTCTGTCAAATAAATATATAAAATCTTTTAAAAACGGGGAAAAAAAAAAAGAATTGCATGCTCTTCTTTTTATAAATATTTTATTCATTTATTTGAGATTGAGAGAGAGTGCACAAATGGGGAGGGGAGGGAGAAGCTCCCCCCTGAGCTGGGAGCCTGACATGACTAGGGGCTCAATCCCAGGACCCTGAGCCAACCAGGCGCCCAAGAGTCACATGCTCTTTTGACTGAGCCAGCCAGGTGCCCCCAAATTTGCTCATTCTTGGTTTTTGTGTCACTCTTGCCTCTTCTTGGGGATCTGTCAGAAGTCCCTCCCAGGTAGTTTCCAAGATTTCCAGGAAGTACATAGTTTTGCTGGCCAAGAACATAATCCAAGTAATGGCAATCACTCAGAAACTTTTCCTAGGGCTGCTTTTGTATTCTTGAAAATGTCTGGGCCACATTTGCTTTTAAAATCAGGAATCCAAAGATGCTCCAAATTTGGTATCTGATAATGGTAATATCCAAGGGAAATGCTGGTCCACCCAGAAATAGTCTGTCCCTCTTCCTTCTAATTTAACTAATGCAAAAGGAAGGAGAGAAAAAGTAATCTATTGAACTCACTTTGCAGAAAGGGAGACTGGCGAAAAGGCAAAATTTAAATTTTAACTGACAAAAGGGATGTTCATTAGAGCCAAAAGCCTGTAATCACCCAAATATCCACAAACTGAATAAGTAAACATACGGTGGTATCCATACAATTTACTGACCAAATTATGGTATGTGCATACAATGGAGTACCACCCAGCAATAAGGGGAAAAATGAGCTAATGATACATACAACATGATGCTGGAATCATTCTGTGATGAAAGAAGACAAAGAATACATATTGCATTATTCCATTTACACAAAACTCTGGAAGGTAACAACTAAGCTATGTGACAAAATAGATCAGAGGTTGATTAGGAAAAAGAGAAGGATTATCTTGAGTGTTATGATTTCATGGGTATAAACATTTCAAAATGTATCAAAAGTGCATACTTTAAATGCATGCAGAAAATAAGTGGTGATTTTCTATCATCCATTAACAGTAAAGGGAAAGATAATGCTCTATTTTACTTCACACAGGTAATTTGCATATAGGTGAGAATCTGCATAGAGAACTAGAGGATCCTTCCATGTCCAACAGCAGGTATTTGTTACCTGTAATCCCTTTTCTGGTTTACTTGCTTTTAAGCACTGTCAAGAGCCATCAGGCCCAAGACAGAGGTGACTATTTACAACATACAGTATACCTAAGTTGGTATTGTGCACACAGCAGATTCTCAAAAAAAAAATTTTAAGTGGAAAAAAGTATAGTGTTGTTGAGAACAGCCATGCTCAACAAGAATCACCACCACTGTAACTCAAAAACTGAAGGTGGCAGGCACCAAGAATATACCTGTTTTACTTACTAGAAGATAAGTTTTGCTTTGTTCTTAAAGACTGATCTATTTATTTATCTTAGAGAAAAACAACACAAGCGAGGAGGGCAACTGGGGCGTGGTTGGAGAGAGTCTCAAGCAGACTCCCCACTGAGTGAGGAGCCCAACCCAGAGATGGATATTAACCCTGAGATCATGACCTGAGCCAAGATCAAGAGCCAGACGCTCAACCGACTGAGCCACCCAGGTGTCCCTAGAAGACAGGTTTAAAAGAAAAAAAAAAAAAAAAAGATATGTTTGAGTTCTGGGAATACGAGGTCATGGAAAATAAAGCAAGAATGCATTTAAAGGGGTGCCTGGGTGGCTCAGTGGGTTAAGCCTCTGCCTTCCGCTCTGGTCATGGTCAGCCCCGCATCAGGCTCTCTGCTCAGAAGGGAGCCTGCTTCCCCCTCTCCCTGTGATCTCTAGCTCTCTGTCAAATAAATAAATAAAATCTTAAAAAAAAAAAAAAAAAAAAAAGAATGCACTTAAAGACAACTTGCTGGGCCACTGCCTCCTGACAGGAATGCCCCAACATCTACAGAAACATTCACAGAAAGCCTACAGGCCAAGAGACTCAGGTCTTGACAGTATTATACCAGTTCTCTCCACAGCAATGCTCTCAAGTGGTCAAGAAGCTCCCAGAGTATTACTCAAGCAAAATAATTTGCAACCCCTTTTAATTTAAAAAAAAAAAAAGTTACAGAAATCTTTTTTTTTTAAGTATGTTGGGTGGAAAAAAAAAAAAAACAGAACCAAGAGTACTTCAAATACCACAAGGACCAGGAGATAGTGATTTATGCTACAGCAAAACACTAGACACCTGTAAGTTCTTAAAAACCAT